AACCTAGACAGCATCTTAAAAAGCAGAGACATCACCTTGCCAACAAAGATCCGCATAGTCAAAGCTATGTTTTTTCCTGTAGTGATGTATGGAAGTGAGAGCTGGACCATAAAGAAGGCTGACTGCTGAAGAATTGATGCTTTTGAATTGTGGTGCTGGAGGAGATTCTTGAGAGTCCCCTGGACTGCAAGGAGAACAAACCTATCAATTCTAAAGGAAATCAACCCTCGAGTGCTCACTGGAAGGACAGATCCTGAAGCCGAGGCTCCCGTACTTTGGCCATTTTATGAGAAGAGAAGACTCCCTGGAAAAGACTCTGATGTTGGGAAAGTGTGAAGGCAAGAAGAGAAGGGAACGGCAGCTGACGAGATGGTTGGACAGTATCATGGAAGTTACCAACATGAATTTGACCCAACTCCCGGAGGCAGTGGAAGACAGGAGGGCCTGGCTTGCTTTGGTTCATGGGGTCAGGAAGAGTCGGACATGACTAAACGACTAAACAACAACAATGTATGTATGTATGTATGTATGTATGTATGTATGTATGTATGTATGTATGTATGTATGTATGTAATATATTGCCTTCCAATAAAGGAATGCAGGGTGGCATATAATAAATATACATGTGTAAATTCAGAGTAAATTAAGGCATTATAATTAAAGTAGGATTAAACAAAAATATTAAAAACACCATTAGTTAAAAAGGCAAAATGAATTAAAAATATCTTTTTTAAAAAAATACTGATAAAAATGTGCTGCACCCCTTCTAAAAATATAGGTATACAAGGTTTAAAAGTTAAAAGCCAACTTTAAAAGGAAGGTTATTACTTGCCAACAGAAGGACTTTAAGACAGGGGCCAATCATTCCATATATTAGGAGCAGCCACTGAAAATTCTCTTCTTGGGCCTTTACTCATGGGAGTGAGACTGAGATAAGGCCTTCCTCTGAAGATTTCAGAAACTGGGGTGGATTATAAGGGAGATGTTGTCCTTCAGGTAGCCTAGACCCAAGCTATATACAGCTTTCTAGGTTATAAGCAGCACTTTGAATTACTCCTGGAAATGAACTGGCCATCACTGAAGTTTTTGTAGCAGATATGGTCCCTATGATAGGCTCCAGTCAGCAGTCTGCCTGCAGCATTTTGAACCAGCTGAAGTTCCCAAATCATCTTGAAAGGCAGCTCCATGTAGAAGGTGTTACAGTAACCCAAATGGAATGTAACTAAGGCATGTGTTACTGTAGCCAAGTCACATACTTCAGGGAACAGGTGTAGCCGAGCACCATCTTTAACTGTGCAAGTACACTCGTAGCCATTGCTGAAACCTGGGCATCAGGGGGACGTGTAACTCCATCTAACATGGAATGGATCTCTGTTCTGCAATATCCCTTACAATTGACCAGGAGTACCTCTGTCTTGACACGATTACGTTACAATTTGTTTTCCTTCACCCAATCCATTACAAATAAGTCAGTAATTTAGAGCAAGAATAGCTTCCTTGGTATTAGATAGAAAAGAGACGTAAGAGTTGAGTTTCATCTGCATACCAGTGACACCAAATTCCCAAACCTCTTGACAACCTCTCCAGAAGTTTCATATAAATATGAAATGGCATGGAGGACTAAACAGGACCCTGTGGGATGTCACAGGCCAAAGGCCAGGTGGTAAAACAGGATTCCCTCAGCACCACTTCTCAGTTTGCCCCTCTAGGAAGGACTAGAACCACCAGAAAGCAAGTTCCCAGTGAGGTACCCCAAAATAATACTGTGGCTGATGGTATCAAAAGCCGCTGAGAGGCCCGGCAGAACCAACAGAGAAACATTCCCCATTTCCAGTTCCTAGCATAGGTCATCAAGGTGACTTAAACTTTCTGAGTCCTGTAACCAGGGCTGAAACCAGACCAAAATAGATCTAGGTGTTTCATCCAGCACTCCCTGGAGCTGAGAGGCTCTGGCATCTTGCCCAAAAATGGAACATTGGATACTGGTTAATAACTGTCCGATATAGTAGGGTGGAATTATGTGGATAACTGTCTGATATAGTAGGGTGGAATTATGCCTTGGGCCAGAGAGGCATTTGCCACTCCTCTTACCTGCATAGCCATTTGAATCACAATATTCGTTCATTGGGGTCATAATCTGTTATTCTTCTGAGTGTCTTTAATTCTTTAGGTCAGAGGTAGCGGATCAAAGCCTGCATATGAGTGGTAGCCAAAACCAGTGCCCCCCTCCCACACCCACACACTCCCCTTGCCATTCCTCCATATTTACTCATTAATTTTTTACCATATTAGAGTCTGAGAATGGGCAGATTTAAACCATCTCATTGTACTTTTCCAGTATTCCATGGGACGAAAGGAATTTACCATTCAAGTATTTACAGTGAATGTTCTCTTTTTGTTTCGTCAACCACCCACCCTGGTCAGGCTTTTTAATTTCAAAAGACGAGGCAGCTTAAAAGGCACAGAAAATTCTCCTCTGTTCTCTAAACTCTCTCTCTCTCTCTCTCTCTCTCTCTCTCTCTCTCTCTGTGTGTGTGTGTGTGTGTGTGTGTGTGTGTGTGTAAAGCATATACCTGCTTCATGTATCTTCACTTCATAATGTGTAACTATGTTTTAGAAAGGATGCATTAGTTAAATGTATTCGGCAATTTGCGTTTTATGTCCTTTGCTTTATAGCTAATGCGCCATGGAGTGGGGCTGTCTACCAGTTCTGACAGTGAACTTATTACTCAGCTGCTGGCATTTACTCCTCCTTTAGAGCAAGATGACTCGCCAGATTGGGTTGCAAGGTAAAGTTGAAGGGGAAATAAATGAAATCAGCTCCCTGGTTGCACAAAACAGCTACTCACTGTAGTTACTGAGATTCTTGGCTTATATTAAGGAACTTTCATATTTCAGGATCAAAAACCTGATGAATGAAACACCCACTTCATACTCACTTCTGATTATGCACAAAGATATAATCTATGCAGTACGTGATCCATATGGGAATCGTCCACTCTGCATTGGTTGTCTTGTTCCAGTAGGCGATATTAACAGCAAAGGTACAGCTTTCTCAGTTAGCATTTATGTTCAAATAACATAAATTTTGTTGTCTTATCTAATCTATGCCCATTTTAAAGCACAATCATCTATGGTTGCATTTTAATTGCTAACTCAGTATCCAGAAGCAATGCACAGTCTTTCTGAACCAGTCTGTGTTAAGGATAATTACATCATTTATTTATGGATATTTGTTGGTTTACATAGGGTTACTGTTCCTTTCGCATATGAAGAATGAGTGTAGTCAAATTTTCTCCCACTCTCTGAATGTATGAGGGCAGAGAAAATAAGAGGCATAATATGAGAGGAAGTCAACAGAAGTAAATTGGGTTGTGATTACATTGAATGCCATCTTATTACCAACAGCAAGCTATTATGCAAAACAACATGGTTTTAGTGGTGGGATAATGAGACATTGTGTCTGCTTAACCTTCTGTTCCCACCCTATTGTGAAAGTAACATGCAATTATATATTGTATTGAGTAGAGTCCTGAAATAAAACCCTATGTGCTGTGTAATAACTATTATAATTAGCCCATGACACCTGAGTTGCTTAGGAAGCAGACATTTCTAATAGCAGGACAAGCATAACAACAGGCAAGTCCATCTATGTGCATTTGAATTAATTGGTGTATATTTTATCTTCAGAAACATTTCTGATGTAGAAATCTCAACTCTTTTTTTGATTTAGACTAGCCTTCCTCAGCCTGATACTCCCCAGATGTTTTGGGCTGCAGCTCTTTTCAGTGCCAACTATAATATAGCCAGTGGTGATGGGATTTGGGGTTTGAAATATCAACTATCTGGAGAGTACCTTAGGAAGTCTTACTTAGAGTGAGATTTCTAGAGATCTTTCATCAACCAGCTATATATGTGCGATGTTATTTTGGGGCTCTTTTATTTTCCTTTCTGCAGCAAATATGGTTTATTGTGGTTACATGTGGGATGCATGCCGGGATCTAATGGTTGTTGTGGGTTTTTCGGGCTCTTTGTCCATGTTTTGAAGGTTGTTCTTCCTAACGTTTCGCCAGTCTCTGTGGCCGGCATCTTCAGAGGACAGCACTCTGTGCTCTGGTGTAGTTGGCTTGGGAGTGCAGTATTTATGGCTGTGAGATAGGCTTTTGTCTTTTTCTGTAGATGGGTGATTAGTTTGTCGTGTTGTGGGTGTATTGTTGTGCTAAGAAGAAGAGATTATATGTCACTGTGGTTGATGGGTATCATTAGCTGGTCTTTTGTGTGCAGTGATCCCCTGTCCTTATGACTGGGTAGAGTTTGTTGACCTTTTGCACGCTGTATTTTTGAGAGCTGGGAGCCAAGTTTTGTTGTGCTTCACACTTTCCTCTTTTTTGTTGAAGTTCTGCTGGTGCTTGTGGATTTCAATGGCTTCCCTGTGCAGTCTGACGTAATGATTGCTGGTGTTGTCCAGTATTTCAGTATTTTGAAATAGAATTTCATGTCCAGTTTGTTTTAGGGCATGTTCAGCTACTGCAGATACAGACTTACTTTACCTGGTTCTGAGTTAGGGCCACAAGTCATTATATGTTGGCAAATGATAACTTGGTTCAATTTTTCTGAAAGGAAGGATTGGTAGGAGGAAGAGGTTCAGAGATTCTGCTCCTAAACTAAGGCTCTTCTCTCCAAGAACACTCTTGTTTGTGGGGGGGTGGGATCAGCTGATGAGGGAGGAAAAATAAGAATGACATTGTGTGGAATGAGATGTATGGAATCATTTAATCCTGATGATTTTTCCCTGCAAGAACACCTCAAAAGATACTTCACACATCAGCACTCTGTGCTGTCCTCTGAAGATGCCGGCCACAAAGACTGGCGAAACGTTAGGAAGAACAACCTTCAGAACACAGCCAAAGAGCCCGAAAAACCCACAACAACAATTAGGTTACAGCTCACAAAACCTATGCCAAATAAAACTTGTTAGTTTTTTAAGGTGCCACAAGACTCTGCTGTTAGGAGTATTTTTCAGCTCTTATTATGTTTACTGTAAGAAACAAGCGTAGCCACAGCAATTGCAGTTACTGAATAAAGTGTGAAAGGGCTTCACAGTAACATCATAGAGAACAGTAGAGTATTTTAGCAATTTATACCATTATAATATTTTCAGAGAGATTATTAGCACTGCTATGAATTGTTTGATCATATCAGTGAAAAAAGCAACGTGCTTATGCAGCAGATTTTTAAAGACTATATAGCTATAAACTTTCAAGTATCAGGAAAATGCTGCTATTACTATGCTAAACTGTTTTACAGGGAAACGCAATGCTGAAACGGAAGGATGGGTAGTTTCCTCAGAATCCTGTAGCTTTTTATCTATTGGTGCAGAGTAAGTTTGTTCATTGGGAGTTTCATTACAATGAAATTAAATGAGGCCAAAGCCTTGTTTTTGCTATATTGTGCTGTTTAATTTTAAGTGATGTTTAATTTTAAGACAAAATGTGGTAGGAAAATCTACATCCCATTGCAATCAACGCTAAAATTCCCATTCATTTTAATGGAATGGGAAACCCTTGTCCTGTACCTAGAAAATAATACAGAAAATGTCTTATACATTTTTAGCCAATCATTAATCAACTCTTCGGTTGTGTACACTGGATTTAGAAATATTCGTAATTGAAATATTTACATTCCTGTAGTCATGAATACATCCTGTCTCTCCTGCTACCTTCCAGCTTAAATTATTAAGGAGCTGATAAGTTACTTTAACATTTCAGAACAAAACAATGGCATTTCAGGCCAGCCCATTACGTGGTGAGGAATGAGAGACAGCAGTGTATGAAAACTGGAATAGAAAAAATAATTCTAGTTTTCCATACATATCTTTGCAATTCATAACTAGAAATGTGGGATTTCAATTAAACATTACATTCCTCTAGTTGATTTATTCCTGTGATCTTCCACATATAGCCACTAAGGGTGGGATTTTCAGAACTAATGAAATCCAAGTTCCATAATTCAGCAGGAACCCCTTAAGCTGAATAATGCAACTGGCATCCATCAAAATGGCTGGAGGCAGAGCAGCCATTTTATTTCCATGCCATTCCCCCACCACTTCTTTGTATCCTTGGAAAAGTGCCCTGCTGCCTTGGAGTTGTGAGGATTCCCTGCAACTCAGAGGTGCAAGGGAGAATGAGTTCTTGTGGACACTACCTCCATAAAGAGTGTCACAGACTCCATATGCTCTATTTAAGTAGCTACTTCTTTGTTTGTAACCATACTAAATTATGATATGTGCTTGCTTTCCGTACTAGGATTGCAAACCAGCTTCAAACTCTGGTTTGCAGTCCTGATTGCAGACAGAAAAGGATAGAAGTAGAAAGAAGCATACAAGTGCAGTTTTCTTCACAGAACCAAAAAAGCATAGTTTGGGCAACTCATTACATGCCAATTAATCTAGGTTTACATGTCATACAAGGTAGAATTTGGTAGGAATCCTGGATTATGCATTCCAGTTCAGTCTATGTTCCCCCCCCCTCAAAATATCCAGACAGGATTGAGTGCTTATGATTCTTTGCTTTGTATAGTTTAAGGGGAAAATATCCTGTACAGCTCACATTTGGATATCACAAGAAAGAAGCCATGGATTCTCCCTGGTTTGTTTAGGTGCTGCCTGTGGAAATGGAAGCTTTTAGAATGCAGGAGCCAGCATGCTGGCAAGTCCATCACAGTTCTACCTTATCATGATATCTAAGTGGGATCATTGTTTTACAGTTTGCCTGTGTTTTTGGTAACTTCTTGACACTTTATCCAGCTCAGTTTGCAACCCTGACCGTACAAAACCACTTTATGGAACTCTAATCAAGTTTTTTGCTCTGAGATTCATGTAAATTCCTTGATTTTGGGTTGCTGACAGATTTTTGTCTTCTTAAATTACAATTATCAACTACTAGTGTGCAATCTGGACTTAATTTAAAATCCTTCAGCAAGAGAGCTGAATTTTGCAATCTGTCTAAACTCTACAGACTGCTCCAATTTTGTCCAACTTTCCTAGTCATAGGAATGACTAAGAATCTTAATTATTGCCCAGCACCACATGCTGTAAATATTCTGCATTCATGTGAAATTGTACCATCCACAATATAATTTTGATATGACATATACCGTATTTTTTGCTCCATAAGACGCACCTTTCCATAAGACGCACCAATTTTTTAGGAGAAGAAAACAGGAAAATATTTTCTTTGCTCCATAAGACGCACAGACTTTCAACCCCCCTGTTTTGTGGGGAAAAAGTGCATCTTATGGTGCAAAAAATACGGGGTGTGTGTGTGTGTGTGTGTGTGTGTGTGTGTGTGTGTGTGTGGGTGTGTGTGTGTGTGTTTGTGTGTGTGTGTGTGTGTGTGTGTATGCGCACAATACTGGATTTTAAAGATTTTTAAACTGTACAACCAAATTTTTAAGGTATTACCGTGAAGTCATGCCAGGAGAGATTGTGAAGATATCTCGATATGATGTGCAAACATTGGATATTGTACCAAGACCTGCAGGAGATCCGTCAGCATTCTGTATTTTTGAATATGTGTATTTTGCAAGGCCTGACAGCATCTTTGAAGGTGAGCTGCCCAATGTTTTGTCAAACATTTTTGGGTGGATAGAAATTATACTGAAATGTTTGAAAGACTTAAACATTTATTTAACATTATGTGGAATCTAGAGTAAGGCCAGGGTGGGGAATCAGCAGAATTCTTTAGTTTTTTGTTAGATCTTTCAGTTGTTATGGGAAAATATGTGCACAGTGTTGAACTGCATTTTCTCAACCATGAATTATGCATGCATTGTGTCATGCATGCTTTGGGATAGCCAAATACATGGTTTATTTATTTATTTATTTATTTTTGTCAAGGTCTATCTTTGGTTTTTACCCCGCCCCTCTAGACCATGTGAAAAAAGTACTGTATATGGAAACATAAAAAATTGCACTTGCTCTCTCATTTTGAAATGGTTGTAATGTGTTCATCTGTGTAATAAGTAGTAAAATATATATGAAAACATTCAACAATTTTTCTTGAGAGTCAATGTCATTCCTATTTTTATTGTCATAACTTCCACCAACTTCTCCTTCCCTATTTCTAAACACCTCCCTTATTTTTATTTTGTTAGTTTATTTTAGGTGTTCAATCAGCTATAACAAAATGAGCTGGGCTAGGGAGCCTTATTAACAAGTTAGGCTAAACCTTTATTCTTATTTAAATTGTTTTAAGCTTTTTAAAATTAGTAGAGGAAAAGCTTGTATGAAACTTGCAGAGAAAAAAATAGGTAAACTTTTCTTTTTCTTAATAGGTCAAATGGTGTACTCTGTTCGAAGGAGATGTGGCCAACAGCTAGCTATTGAAGCCCCAGTGGAAGCAGATTTGGTTAGCACAGTCCCAGAATCAGCAACAGCTGCAGCCCTTGGTTATGCACAAAAGGTACTGTGTTTCTCTATTCCCTGAATTTTTTTTTAATTTTTATTTTATTTTATTTTTTTGCAGAAGTTGAGAAGGAGAAAGAGATGTTCTGGCCACATTCAGACATAACAATAGGCCAAACAACTGTAGGAACCCTGAATTATCAGGATTGATCCTGTTGTTTAGTATCCTGTTTCCCCGAAAATAAGCCCTAACCTGAAAATAAGCCCTAGTATGATTTTTCAGGATGCTCGTAATACAAGCCGTACCCCAAAAATAAGCCCCGGTTCAGTGAAACCCCCCGTCCACCATTGTGCAGCAACCAGAAGAAGATGGCATGACTATGTTTGAATAAATATATTCTTGTACTTGAAAAAAAATCCCCTGAAAATAAGCTCTAACGTATTTTGAGGAGCAAAAATTAATATAAGACCCCCTGTTTTATTTTTGGGGAAACACAGTAGTTTTGTTTATCTTGTTTTCTGAAACTTGGCAGCAGTCAACACTCTGGTTTGTTTCTTTCCAAATGTACCAAAGAAAGAAACTGCAAAACAAATTGTCATCAAAGTTTTAAGAGTTGCAGCTTCAACTGCTCCCACTTAGTCTACACTTCTGTAATATAGAAAAGTGATGCTGGTCCAAATTCATCAGGTATTGTTGCTGAATTGTAGATGTTTCATAGAACTTTAGACATGTCTTTTGACCTCTGTTTTCTCCTGTTTGCAGTGTGGCTTGCCATACATTGAAGTATTGTGCAAAAACAGATATGTAGGAAGAACTTTCATTCAGCCAAACATGAGATTAAGGCAGCTTGGTGTGGCCAAAAAGTTTGGAGTCCTGTCAGACAACTTCAAAGGAAAGCGTATTGTCCTTATTGACGATTCTATTGTGCGAGGCAATACCGTTTCACCCATAATTAAACTACTAAGAGAATCTGGTGCTAAAGAGGTAAGTACATATTATTGCTTGTCCATAGGGAGAAATAACTGAAGGAAAAGATGAATTGTTCTGGTTAGAACTTTGTAATAATTTCTCTATTATTATAGCAGAGGGGAAAAAGTGGAGAAAAAGAGTTTCCAGCTCTTTTGTTTCAATACCTTGCTCTCCATACCACTGCCGTTTCCTCCCCAGTAGCAAACCCAGATTTCTTTCACTCTGCTTCCAGTCCGTCCGTTTATTCATCTGCTTGTATCAATTTTGAATTTTTTTGTGTTGCCTGTTAATACAAACAAATGCTATTTACTGAATCAGTGTCAATATCATAATTGCATTCCCCCCACCAGGTACACATTCGTGTGGCTTCACCTCCCATAAAATTTCCTTGTTACATGGGTATAAATATTCCAACAAAAGAAGAACTCATTGCTAACAAGCCTGAATTTCATAACCTCGCCAGCCACATAGGTAAAGTATTTTAACTTCCAGTTCTTTTCTAGAAATGTTATAAACAGATATAATTTCCAGAAGGATGGGAATGAGCTCTTCAAAATGCAACCCCTAAGTCAGTGGCAGCCATAGAGCTTTTTGCAGCCACATAAAGAATGTTACATAAATATAAATACAGATACAAAAAATTTAATGCTTCAGATGTATTTATTAATACTGCACATTTCAATACATTACAAAATAGTCAAATTATCAAAATATGATAATAAACTACTTGGAATAGCCAATATGATGTATTTGTGATTTTAGTCATCTCCCTTAAAAATATGGTTTATCTTTTGTGTTTGGAAATGTGGTATGGCAGTGCACATACATTGTATGTTTGAGGCCTCCTGTTTAGTTACTAAACTACCTAGCCAGGAAATCCCTAGTAGAATTTCAAGGGATAGTTCTTGCCTTGTATTAAAATAAGGCATCTTGACAGTCACACTCTTTCCTTGCGAAAAGTGACATGGGATTTTATTTATAAATTCTTACAGACATTTTAAGGGAGGAAATATTAAGGGATGGTATTTTTCATGCCAGTACATTTGATGTTGCAGCTGTCATAAGCAAGCCCCTTCCACTTCAGTGTTAACAGTTTGGCTAGGTTTCTGCTAGGCACAAGGTGGAGCATGACATTTGAATAGTGCAGTAACACAGAGTTTTCTGCTTGCGCAAGTTTTGTTGCTACACAAGCAGAGATGCCTTTGTGAATAGCCAGTTTGTGTCAGAAGATCCTAGCTAAAAGTCAAATGATTTCCACTGTATCTGTTGCATGAGTAATTTGACTTCACAGAATCCTGGTGCTTGATGGGGGGTGGGATTATACAATACTGGCATGTGGTCTAGTGCAGTGTGGTCTAGTACAGTGGTTCCCAACTTTGGGTCCCCAGATGTTCTTAGACTGCTACTCCCAGAAACCCTGTTCAGCACAGCCACTGATGAAGGCTTCTGGGAGTTTTAGTCCTAGAACATCTGGGGGCTGAAGGTTGGGAACTAGTAGTCTAGTGGATAGAGTGACAGACTAGAACTTTGGAGACCAGGGTTTGAATCCAGAACTGGTAAAATCACTCCTAAAAACCTCACTTACCTTGAAAGCTCTATTAGAGTCACTATAGGTTCTGACTTGACAGCACATAAAAACAACAAGCAGTTGTGAAGTTCTTAACAGTTTGCTTTTCATGTTTTCTCTCTTTCCAGGAGCTGACAGTGTCGTTTATCTTTCAGTAGAAGGACTGGTATCATCTGTGCAAGAAAGCATCAAAGCAAGACAAGATAATGAAAATAATCTAAAGACCAACAAGTTCCGGACTGGGAAAATTGGCCATTGCATAGCTTGCCTTGTTGGAAAATACCCTGTAGAGCTAGAATGGTGAATTCTCCGTCACAAATGAAAGAACATTTGGAACTGATTAAGTGTATCACTGCCATACACCTTGTTTGAGATGGTGAGGAGCATAACAAAACAAAATCTTAGCAATCACACTAGTGCTGTATCTTTGTGGTTAGGGAGGATGCATCAAGCCTCTTAATTCCTGAAATAGTATAATTTTACTAAGAAACCTGGAATGCTCCTTGGACTTTTATTCATAACTATAGTTCCTTACAAATGACAAGGGAGAGGCTGGGAGCCATTCAGCTATCTCAAATTTTAAGATGTAATCAGAAAAAAATATATAACTTGGCTATCTATAAATGAGAAACTTCGAAGTTCAGCCATTTGGACTCTTGAATCTGAAAAATGGCCAGAAACTTGACTTCATTTTTTAATGCTTATATAAAATCTGAAGAACTTGCCGTAGCTAACTGATGAGGTGCCAGGGCTCATTCTGGTTGCCAGTTGGCACGTGACTAGAGTGTAACACTTTGTCTCTTAGTTGCAATGTGCTACAGCAAGTAAGAATTCTGGCCAATGTCTCTATTTTTACTCATATTACTATAAACCCATCTTATAACATGCTTCCAAAGAGACTGTTGTTTTTACACAATATTTTTTACACAGAGAGATTGGAAGACTCAGGGAAATATTAAACCAGAAGTCTGACACCTTGAGGCTTAGTGATTTAAAGTTTGGCTGCTTTAAAAGTACTTATATTGTGTCTTACAGGGATGTGATAGGGAAGATCGGATAGGATGACAATCATCTCCTGTACTATCAATTAGACATTAAGGGCTGATTTTCTCCATTATATACTTTCACTTTGAACGCTGACTTAAGTGTAGGCTGAATGAATGTTTTTATTTGCTTTTAAAGCTTCAAAGAAGACTTCAACATTGAAAAATTAACATGCAGACTCATTTTAATGGAGGATTTTAAGAAACATAATGTTCTTAATTTAATATAAAAGCATTGCTCAGTTTCTGTGAGTTTTGTGTCCCTCGGTGAATGACATTTAAACATCTCTTCAGTCATAAAAGTCTCAACCCAGACATCTATGACTTGAAATAGAAGTGTAAGTAATCTAGCCTCATTGAAAAATTCTTGCTGCTGCTTGATGGTCCCTGTGTGGCCATATGGATATATGGCTTGGGCATCTGGTCAAAAGCTGACCTAGGAGGCTCTAGAGCTGTGACCACTTCGAAGTGACCATCCCTGTGTTCCTCATTCATGCTTCAGAGGCACGGCACCTACCTTCCCATTTAGTTTATTTTTGAACAGTACAGCAGTAGAAACACTTACTGTGTTTGGCACCATTTAAAAAAAAGCAAGACTGAATTTTCTCAGTCTTCTTACACTACCCCCACCCCATCTTTACCATTTAACTTTATCTCAGTGTGCAAATTTCAGGGACCAAAGCAGGTGGACCATGCCACAGGGTTTGAGCCTAGGTGCCATGACCTGGGTTACAGGCTGATTCCATTTGAGAACAATAATTTCTGAATAGGACTATAGTATAATCAGTTGAAAACTTAATGGAAGGACAAGTGCCTTTTCGAAATATATATCTGCACGCTTCAGATTATGCGTGCTTTTTAGTAAATTCAAAGGTGCAGTTATATACACAGGATCTCTTGAGAGAATGTACCATTTTAGAACACAGAAGGGGAAATCACTCATATGAAAGAGTTCCTATAGGACAAGTCACTGTGTGTTGAAAGCTAACATTGGTAAGTAACTTATGGTCTAACATGAAACTATATATGAGGTCACTAAACCCCAGAACTGTTCAGAGGCACTGATGTAATTCCTTCATCTTCTACACACAAAAGAAGGTTAAATAACAGCCAGTCCTTGCCAATAGTTTCAAATAACTGGGATTGTAAGGGATTGAAGAGTTTAGGAGAGGATATGGAGAATTTAACTTACTTGCATTACATTTTGAGACACACACACAAGATTCTGAAGGACCTGGTATGTTTCTAAGCCATGTAACCTGCAAGGGTCCTTGATACTGGAAAATCATCATCACCTTTTGCTTTTTGATCCTGATACATAAGGTTCTTGAGCCAACACTGTAGTGAGAACAAAAATATATTGTTAAAGCAAGTGTGGCATGAAATGAAGTTCAGCATTTTGAAACCAAAGAGAAAGCACCGTCTTTACTGGCATAAAAGTTTGCAATCAATATGGTGATTTCACACACAACTATGCCTAGAATCACTGCAAAGAGATGTATTTGGAGGATAAATAATGCTTTATGTGAATGAACTCAACTGTTGTTCGGTCTGTGGTTAAATATTGGTGTCTTGAGATTGCTTTACATAGCTAGAAAGAGTCTTGAGATTTCATCCCTATGTAGAAATTTGCACATAAAACACTGGATGCTCGAGTGGTACATGACAAAGGTAAAAACATACAATATATGCTATATCTATACTTTGTGTGATAATGAAAACAAAGATACAGTAAAGTTAGAGTCAGGCGGAGAAACAAACCACTTTTTAAAAAAGGGGACTAGTCCCTTGTTAAAATTTTGCTAAAGAATTCTGGAACATACTTTTTAAATCAGCTGAAGTAGGATAAGACTTCCACTGCCAACCCTACTGTATCCCATGTACAATTATTGTACATGAAACTGAAAATTTTTGTATTGTAACTGAAAATTTTTCTTCCATTTTCCTTTTCCTCCCCTAAACATTTATGACAAACACTAAAAGAAAGGAAGAAAAATTAATATACAGGAGTGTGTACTTCTGCACTCAACTCTGTTATAACAGTCGATGTCTTTAGACATTGTAGAGGTCAGAAAACATTTGTGACAGATGAGCTCTGCAATCATAACACAAATATACTCTGACTGCAAAGGCTTAGGATAGGCACACACTCCACTGGCAGAAGCTTCATCTCAAGAGCTCTTCTGACAGAGCAGCCAGCCAGCAAAATGGTTCTGCTGACTTAGATCTGCTGGCATAACAGCCAAAGAGGTGGAAAAGCAGGGATGGACTGACAGAGATAGATCTGCACAACTGATTGCATTGTCAGGTTCCCACTGGGGTCACGGTATTGGGAATTGCTGTGGTGAGTAACTCCACTTCAAGATTCAAGATAGACCACCCAAGTCTTACATATACAGATACAGACAAACGTAAGGTTGTGTCTTTTTCCTTACACACACACTGTTACAGAGTTCTGAATTTCTAGAAAAATTCTTTTTTTACTATGCAATAGAAGTACAGATATCCACACAGTAGAATAACTACAAATTCTCTTTTTCACTAACTGGCAGTTAAGTCTCAATAATCCACTTTAAGACATTTGTACTATGTCTCCCCAAAAATAAGACAGGGTCTTATATTAATTTTTGATCAAAAAGGGTGTTACAGCTTATTTTCAGGGGAATTTTTTTAATGGACAACAATCTACATTTATTCAAATAGATTTGTTTAATGACGAATCCGCATAGCGATGTGTTTTTTGCTATCGCAAAAGCGATCACATAATGATGTTTTTAATGGCAAAACATCGCATTGCGATGATTGGTAAGCGTTTCGCTTACCGATTTTCACACTGCATGTTTTTTCTAACAGCTGATCGGCTGTTCCAAAATGGCCGCCAGGTAAAAAAATGGCCGCCCGCTGTGTTTTTGCGCCCTTTCCTCACTTACCGGGCAGCGAAAATGGCGGCCGCATGGAGGATTTTCGCAGAACGGTGAGTTTTTTGCCCACAGGAACGCATTAAACGTGTTTTAATGCGTTCCTATGGGCTTTTTTGCCCCGCATAGCGACAAATCCGTATAGCGACGATTTTTTGGGAATGGATGCGGGGCACCACTGTACAGTCATGTCATCATCTTCTGGTTGCTGCACAATGGTGAAGGGCTGCGTTTCACTTAACTGGGGCTTATTTTGGGGGTAGGGCTTATATTATGAGCATCATGAAAAATACTAGGGCTTATTTTCAGGTTAGGGCTTATTTTCGAGAAAAATAAGAGAAAGATAAACCATTCTTTACTTAGAGTTGTTTGAAATTATAGACTTCTGTATATTTGTTTCTGCATATGTACTTAGCAACCACATAAACAGATCAACAGGAAACAAGCAACTGCCGCCAACCCAGAAAACTGAATTAGCTCTAGATAGATAATCACTCCAGTCCAGAAAAGTCAATTTCAGTCAGACTACTCACACACTGGCACACCTACCCAAACCCTCCAAACTTACTTGCAAAATGGCTTATTTACAGCTGTAGGCAATCTCTCTGGGACAGAAATCAAGTACATCACTGGGAAGATAATCAAAGCTGGCAATGTGAGTGGAAATTGACTGGAACAAACAGAAAAAGCAGAACTGTAGAGTAATGCCACATTAACTGTAATGTAATTTAACTGTAATTTAAGATCCCATACATAGAATCTGGGTCAGCTGTGTCAGTGCATTCGTAAGTGTGTGTGTGTCCCTCTCTGTTTTAAGAACAAGGAATAGGTGATGTGGCCCCCAAGAGAACAGGGATCACCCTCCCTGTTTTAACCATCTAATCTCTTTGGATTTTGGCTATAGGTTTGCCTTCATTCATGGCAAAACCTGGCAAGCAGCAGGCACATGGTAAGCCCTATTTATTAAAATGGTGTCAGCAGCACATAATAAGCAGATTACTGCAATTTCTAGGAAAGAGAAACTTAGAGGGAAAAATACTCAGAAGTTAGAAACAGTTAAAAGAACACAGTCTGTTTCATTTTGGGCAACAGATGCAGAGAATTTTGAAAGAAATATTTTACGTGGCTGTAGTACAAACCTGGTAGTATTTCTGGGCTACAACTACAGTACAGTGGTGACCCGCATAGCGACGTTAATCTGTTCCAGGAAAAACATCGCTAACCGGAAACATCGCTATACAGAATAGAAAACCACATAGGAACGCATTAAACTCCGTTTAATGCGTTCCTATGGGGGTAAACTCACCGCTAAGCGGGAATCCTCCATAGGGCCGCCATTTTCGCCGCCTCGGTAAGCGAGGAATCAGCGCGAAAATGCTGCGGGCGGCCATTTTGGAACCGCCGATCAGCTGTTTCCAAAACATCGCAATGCGAAGATCAGTAGGCGAAATGCTTACTGATCATCGCAATGCGATGTTTTGCCATATAAAACATCGCAATGCGATCGTAAAAACAATCACAAAATCCACATCGCTATGCGGATTCGTCATTAAACAGTGCGCTCGTTATGCGAGGCACCACTGTGCTGGATTGCCTCAGCCAGCATTGCCAGTAGGAAGCTAGGACTTTTGTAATAGACATAACAGTAATAGACAAGGACTCAAGAGACTGAGATTTGATTCCCTGTCTCACCCATGGAAGCTCACTAAGGTATGGAACCAGTAAAACCACTTCTGAAATGCCTCACTTACCTTGAAAGCACTATCAGGATAATTATAAGTTAGTTCTGACTTGTCGGCACATAAGAAATGCCTCCTATTTCTTGCCTGGGATCCTGGTTTTTGCACCACTGCAAAGACATGTGCAGAAGGACCCATGATTTCTGTGTTGTCATCTGTGGGCACAGATGGAGCCAATAACTGGACAGTGGTTTGGAAAAAATCATGCAGAGCTATGAGAATTCATGTCTCAAATCTACATTTTTCTGCCACTGCACAACCATGTGTTGAGGAACACATGGTTTCTGTATTCTATCTGTGGGCGCAGATGGGGCCTATGACTAAGTGGTTTGGGTTTGATCTTGCATCAAAATCATGTGGATCCACGAGGATCTGTGTCTTGGATTCATGTTTTTATTACACTCCTTACACTGAAGGCCCCCTGATTTCTGTGTTATTATCTGTGGGCACAGATGAGATTTCTGCTCTGATGGTGGTTTAGAGAGAATTCCATCTAAAAATCATATGAAATTGTGTGAATCCGTGCCTTGAAAAAAAGGATTTGTGCCACTGCAAAGCGATGCGCCAAAGGATCATGGATTTCTTTGTGTAATCT